CCGTTCACGAGCTTCTGGGCGACCGGCCAGCAACTATTATGCTCACTGCTGTGTGGCGGCATACACATCAGCCCCGAAAGCAGACCCGAATCGGCCAGCAGCTGATTGCTCGAGGACACAAGAAGCGTGCGGGATAGGGATTTCGGGAAACAAGACGTCGTGGGACGTCCAGGTGCAGTTCTTGGGAAAGACAGCAGCATATCGAGACGCACAAACAGTTACTGAACGTCAGATGCGGGCAGTCCCCAAATGAGGACAAATCATGGAATGAGCATGGCACCACCGGGAATGGATGGACGAACCTACCACAACGGTGGTCACAACGTTACGCCGCGTCTCGAGTGGCCCCAAACCCAAAGTCAGACCTTGGCCGCCGACTCGTCCTCCCGCGGCATGGAACGCGCTTCGATCAACAACCTGCGTACATCTTTCCGCTCCAACCTGCCGCCGAACCCGACTATTCGCGCCGTGACACCGGAGTACCACCACCCCGAAGTCTCTCCGGCAGTGTCCGCCAGCTCCGTCTTCGATCCGGCTGCCAGCTTACACTCAGCCCGCAGCGGCTTCACCTCGACCTCCCCTCAAACCTCCCCGAGATCCATACCCGGAGACTTCCAAAGACGGCAGGGTGTGGTATTCAATGACCAGTACGGCGGAGACTCGTACCAGAATTCAAGTAGCCCCCCTATAAGGCAGCCCAACACCTTTCGGCCGAGAACACACACCATGGACGGGGCATTGAGACAGCAGTTCCTGAATGCGACGGCCAGGGAGGGTCCAGGTCGGCCACGCTTAGGGTCGTTCTCTTCCTCCGGGTCACAACCGCTCTATGACGATGCTCGTTCGCCGCCGCCACCCATCGAATCCTTGGGTTTTCCTTCAGTGATACCCGCTCGCCATTCAGAGATACCCGCAGGCGCCACAAACAGCTTGAGAGAAAAGAAATCGTCAAGCAAGCGACTGATCAAGCGGCAATCCTCACGTCCTACTTCGCCTCCTGCCACGACACCTTCAGTGGACTCACTACCTGTCCCTGTGCCGACTGAAAACGCGAACAACATTTTACTGTTGATGAAGAACCTGTGTGGTCGAATGAGAGGCGATATCGAGTTCAGAACCGAAACATCAGGCCATTGGCAAATCGGGGTCGCCTACGTTGATGAGGAGAAGGGATCCCTGATGTTTGACTCAGGTAACGATGGGCCATTCCACGTCCCCCTGGTGTCAGATCTGCGAGGGTGTCGCATCTCCCCCACCGAGCTGCCTGCAGGCAAGAAGTGCTTGGAGATTTCGTCCAACACACAGCCACCTGTGGATCTACTAATACACCCACTCCTCGCGGAGGAGCGAGATCTGTGGCTGGCTGCGTTGTTATGCTGGCAGCAAATGCGGCCACCTAAAGTCAAGCTCTCCAATGCCAACCGAAACCCAACCCCTACCCAATTAAGACCAGCAGTTAGGAGGCGCGGCTCTGAGAACGGAACACCAAAAACGACCAATGCACTCATCAAAGTTGGCCAGGTCCGGCTATGGGATAAGGGACTTGCTAGCTCTCCAAGGGCTATTGTCAAAAGACCCTCTACCAGGGACTTGAGATCGCCGTGTACTTCATGGCGGGTCGTTTCCTGCCTACTCCAGGAGAATGGCGAGATCAGGCTTACCACGAACGATGGTGATGCTGTCATTGCTGTGGTAGAGCTCTCTCAGCTGTCGAGATGCGCCATTCAACAGCTGGACAGATCTGTTCTCGACGAAGAATACTGCATCGGCATCTTCCCCCATTACTCCACGATATCCACCCAACTCTCCATTTTCCGACCCGTCTACATCGCATTGGAGAATCGTTTGCTTTTCGAGGTCTGGTTCGTCCTCCTGCGCGCCTTTGCACTGCCTGACATCTTTCTGTTGGAGCCATCGGCAGAAGGCGCTGTCGAGGTTACCGATTTGGATTCTGATCTTACGGGAGAGGTTTTCAGAATTGAAAAGACGATTAGTCTGAGGGTTACAGAGGCCAAGCTAAAGCCAAGAATTATGTCACCAGATGTTGGCAGCTTCGTCGACCGGCAATCTAGGGATGCTGATCCACTGATTGGTAACTATCTCACAGAGGTCATCCTAGATGGCGAGGTTCGAGCTCGGTCAACAATCAAGACAGGCACAAAGAACCCTTTCTGGAGAGAAGACTACCAGTTCTCAGATCTCCCCCCGATGATGCCGTTTCTCTCTATTGTCCTGAAGAGAGTTGATGGGAACCTTGAAAGCTGGAGCCATCAGCTGCAAGCATCACTTGGATTGCCGAAGACGGGCAATCTGACGGAGGTTCTATGCGGTTCGGTTGACATCCCTCTCGACCAAGTGGAGCCCGGCAAAGATCTCGAAAGGTGGCTCGACATATACGATGAGCGACAGCAAGTCGTTGGTACGATGCTCGTCAAACTTCAGCATGAAGAGCTCGTGGTACTTCACTCCAAGGAGTACCAGGCGTTATCAACTCTTCTCCACAGCTTTCCGTCTGGTCTAACTGCCCAGATTGCTGACGCGCTTCCCGGAAATCTCAGGCGCCTCTCGGAAATCTTCCTCAACATCTTCCAGGTGTCCAATCATGCGAATGAGTGGCTTCAGACGCTGGTAGAGGATGAAATCGATGGTATCGGAGGCACACAAAACCAAATGAAAAAGTACCGATACAGCAGCCGGCTCAAGTCCAGCGAGGCGTTGGAATTCCACAACGGTAGAGAACAGGTTTTGCGCGACATGGGCAAGTCGTTAGCAGGGGAGGCCAACCTGCTCTTCAGAGGCAACACCTTGCTGACACAAGCTCTTGAATTCCACATGAGGAGATCAGGCAAGGAGTATCTTGAGCAGATGCTGATGGCCAAAATCTATGAGATCAACGAGATGAACCCCGACTGTGAGGTTGACCCCAGCAAATTGAAGCCAGGGGAGAACGTCCAAGAGCATTGGAATCGCCTCATTCAGATCACGACAGAGGTCTGGCAATGCATCTGCCGGGAGCCGACTAAGTGTCCTCCAGAGTTGCGGTCAATCCTCAAGTACATTCGTGCTGTTGCCGAAGATCGCTACGGTGATTGGCTGCGAACCGTCACTTACACCAGCGTCTCGGGCTTTCTCTTTCTCCGCTTCATCTGCCCTGCGATCTTGAGCCCGAAGCTCTTCGGCCTGCTACGGGACCATCCCCGGCCGCGAGCACAGCGAACGCTGACACTCGTCGCGAAAGCGCTCCAAGCGCTGGGAAATCTCTCAACGTTTGGCAAGAAAGAGGAATGGATGGAGCCGATGAACAAGTTTCTGGGTTCAAACCGCCAATCGGTCAAAGACTACATCGACACCATCTGCTCTATTCCTGTCGAACGCAATAAGGTCGCTCTGGGGCCATCCTACTCGACTCCGATCACCATTCTCGGCAGACTGTCTCCGACGGCTCGGGAGGGTTTCCCAGCATTGCCTCACCTGATCGACCACGCCCGAAACTTTGCTGCCTTGGTAAAGATATGGACTGACGCAAACCCTATTGGCAATGGCGAGGTGTCCAAACCTGCTGGCGGTGAAGACGACATTCTCATCTTCAACGAGATGTGCATGAGCTTGCAAGAGCGTGCAGACATCTGCTACGCGAAGATGGACGGGTCGCTACACGATACCGCATCGCTTGCTGCATCCGCATCCGAGTTCGCCGATCAACTAGAACACAGTCAAGCTATGCTGGAATCTATGACATTCGCGACCTACCACAACAACAATTCCGCAACAAACTCTACTACAGCTTCAACGGTCTGGATGGAGCAAGACAATCTCGTGCCTCCTGGATCAGCCGGCAGCGATGCGTACATGGAGACGTCTTCGTCCCGAAGCCGTGAGCAACGCCGTGGCCGGGACAGGAGCTCAATGAGACAGAACTCTGGGCATTCGGACCATTCGACAGGACACCTCGCGACGCTCAAGCGTAACGGCCGAGCCACGCGCCATATTTTGTCTGGCATTATGAAGCCATTTGCTCGAGGAGAGTCGCCTGACTCGTCGCCATCAGTATCGCGAAGCAAGAACTTTGAGCGTAACTGCAATACTGGCTACTGATCAACATCAGTGGACGCATCACAAACCAACACACACAACTTGAGGGCCACCGGTCGTCTCTTATTCTTCTTTGTTGCCTACTTTCTTCGCATACGAACATGAACACAAAAGCCCACGGGACTTTGACGACACAAAGATCTTCTGTTTTTAGTTTTTCTCACGACGAGGAGGATATCTGGATACGCGCATTTGGAGCGTATAAGATGGCGATCATGGCTGCTGCATTACTATTCTGGGAGGGAGGCAAGCCGGGCTCTCGTGGGTATTCGTGAAACCACTCCGGCGTTTGTTTGACCCAACAGGGCAAGCTTTGCTCGCTCGGGAGGGAGGGAAGACAAAAATGGCTTCCCATGCATTGGTTGGAGGCTCGGCCCTGTTTTTTGATGTTGATTGTTTCCTTCACCCTTCTTGCTTGCTAGGTTCCTTGGTGTAAGGTAGCCTTCGCATCATGGGACACGATGAATATACCCAGACACATCATGATTAGAAGATACCTTTTTGCCTCGTCCGCACGAACCAGACGCGCGCGCAAGACACTTGATGCGCAGTACAAGAACATGTGCGTGTAATGTAAATAATATTGAACATTGTGTGGAGGTATCTACCTGAATCCTATGGTTTTTCTTTTCGTCTTCGCCATGTCCGTCCGTCGTCTCTTTACGCCCCAAATTCAAATGAATTAACCCGGTTTTTAATCGCCCCAAAGACTCAAAATTCGTCACGTCTTCATCGTCTCTTTTTCTAGGTCGTACCACGCTCGGCTCCTAGTTGCTCGCTCTAGTCGATTTAACCCTCAATCCCCGCTCGGTTTTCCAGCCTCATCGCTGTAGAGCTCCTCCGATGCCTCGACAGTCACATCAGCGAACTGGATGCACGTGCACGTCATTTCAGAGCATAAGCATACTTTATTGGAAGAACTTCTTGTACGCAGCCTTTTCCTTGGCCGCGCGGGCGGAAGCCTTCTGCTTGACGGCGTTGAGCTCATTGAGGATGACCTTGTCCTCGGAAACAAGCTTGTGAGCCTCCTCCAGGTCCTTGATGGCGCTCTCGTCATCCTTGAGGCGAACGCTGGCGAAGCCGCGACGGTAGAGAGCCTTGGCGCGGTCGGCATCCTTAATGCCAGCAATGTCGAGGGCGTAGCCGGCGGTCTTGGCGGCATCCTCCCAGTTCTCAAGCTTAATGTTGAGCAGGGCCGAGTTGTTGTTCAGGGAGAAGCGGAGGGCCTTGAGCTCGGCCTGTACCTCGGCGGGCTCGTTGTCGAGGTCAGGCTCCTCGTTGAGGTAGCGCAGACCCTTTTGGTACTTGTCAAGACCGGTCTGGAAGTCGCCGGCCTTGAAGGCCTTGTTTCCAAAGTCCTTGCAGGCCGTGGCGATCTTGAGCGTCTCCTTTGCGTCGGGAGGGGAGGCGCAATCCTCGGGGTAGTCCTCGTAGGTATCACCCATGGCATCGGGGGCCTTGACATCGGCAGCCAAGGCAGCGTCTCCGGTGAGCTCACCGCAGTCGGCGATGACGGCATCCTTGACGGGCTTGTCGCCAGTCTCGGTCTGGAGGTTCTCGATCTGGCGGACAACAGACTTGCCGTTGAGGACTTCACCGAAGACAACGTGCTTGTTGTCGAGGTGGGGGGTCGGGACGGTGGTGATGAAGAACTGAGAGCCGTTTGTATCTGTGTTGTAGGTGGTTAGTTTTTGAAACCGACGGCAGGGCTGAATAAGTACGGAGCAGCTTACTAGGTCCAGCGTTTGCCATGGAAAGAAGGAAAGGGCGCTCATGCTTCAAGGGGAAGGCCTCGTCCTCGAACTTCTCGCCGTAGATGGATTCGCCGCCAGTTCCGTTGCCGGCGGTGAAGTCACCGCCCTGGATCATGAACTGCTTGATAACACGGTGGAAGCCAGATCCCTTGTAGTGGAGGGGCTTTCCGGTCTTGCCCAAGCCCTTCTCTCCTGTGCAGAGAGCGCGGAAGTTCTCGGCAGTTTTGGGGACAAGATCGTTGTAGAGCTCCATGGTAATGCGACCGGCGGACTTGCCACCAATGGTCACGTCGAAGAAGACGCGGGAGCGCGCCTGCTTGGTCTCGTCGGCAGACATGGTTGCGGTTTGTGTGGTGTTGGTGAGGTGGGAAGGATGAACTGGTGTTGTCTCGATCTACCTAAGATCAGGCTGAGACGTTGCGCTCTGTGCGAGTGGTGCGGGGTAGAGAGCTTGTCACAGTCTCTGGGTATCTAGCTGGAGGTTGCTGTTTGGTCTGAGCTGTGGATAGCTTCAACCAAGTGAAAGTCAGACGCAATTGTGAGTGGTGACCAGAATTAAGTCAAAGGAGCAGGAATGAAAGTGACGATGCGGCGTTGATAGTAGTCAGGTTAAGAATACCTCTCCCCAAGTGAGCTCACAGCTAAGTGGGGTTGCGATGGAACTTTCTAGCTCCAGGAAGACCTGGCGCGGGGCAGCTGTGTTGCACCGCAATCCTGCGCGGCAGTGGGGGAAACGACGCCCGAGCCAACCCCCTTGCCTAAAGGAAGGGCGGTTTGGCGCTTGCCAGTCAGCAGCTTGTCGTTTGTGAGGAAGGCAGCGTCGGTGACGATCTACCAATCAGCTCCTGCAGTTTTCAATCATGGAGATGTCAGTTTCGCATGCCTGGAAAATGGCATTGTGGCCTCTCTATGTGCTTAACCCTGGAACCAAGGGCATGTTTATCTAGTTGAAGTCTAACAGCTCAAGTAGTAGTCTATTAATTGTTTGCCCCGTATCTATGAGCAAGAGCTCCAAGCCTCGGGTATGCTTACAATCCAAAGGGACCATGAAACCGAATGCAGTGCCAGACGCAGGTACTCACTGCTTCGGCGGCGCAGGGTCTGTGTTGAGCTCCAGGGTTACGGGGCCATCATTGACGAGAGCGACCTCCATCATTGCCTGAAATCTCCCATCTTTGACCTTGTCTGCGGCGTAACCAGCCTGGACCTTCTGCAAGAAGTGGTGATACAGCCGCTTGGCGTCCTCGGCGCCTGCTGACAGGCGGAAGTCAGGTTTGTTCTTACTAATCTTAGCGAATAGTGTGAATTGAGACACTGCAAAGGTTAGGAAAGCCGGCGCGCTGATTCATCATCATGACAGACGTACCGCAGAGAACTTCCCCGGAAATGTCCTGGACGTTCTTCTTCCATCTGCCGCCGGCGTCGTCATCCCACATCTTGAGCTTCAGCACCTTGGTTGCAAGAGCTTCTGCTTCCTTCTCCGTGTCACCGGGGGCAACGGCAGCGAGCACCAAAACGCCTTTGCCAATGAAGGAGATGACCTCCTTGTCCACTGTCACCGAGGCGGACAGCACACGCTGGACTATGGCTGGAAGCAAGAAGAGTCAACATACTTGGACTTACAGCGGATAACGGAAGGATCCTTGCCTTTCATCTTGCAGCACTGCGTAAATGCAATTTGGCAGAAACAGGGAATAGGTTTCAGAACTGAGAACGGCAGAGGATTCAAACGCGGGGATCCGTCTCTTCAGACACTGATTGATTGACCGGAACGTGGAACCGCCTCAGCCGTCGACCGGATGAGGTCAAAAAGTGCCAAATACAAGGAGGAAAACCAAGGGGCTAAGATGGTAGTAGCATGCAGCCAGCCAATGCCGTCTGAAGGTTGAGAAGCCACCGATCAACCAAGCGTACAGATTGCAGTACGTAGAAAACAACTCAGGTACCTTAAGCAATTGAGGGGAGAGACAGGCTAGCGACCAAGGCGTCCTGGGGTTTGTGGCCTTGGCTTACGCCCGGCAATTAGAGGGGGAGGGGGTTAGATCCTCAAGGAAACCAGAGGGCACAGCTACGATCTGTTTGCTTTGGGTTGCAGTCCAATGCTTGCTGGGAATAGAAAAGAGAGCGGCCAGAGATAGAAGCAGCCCGCAATCAAAAATCGAGACACTGGACGGCTGGAAATTGAAGCTATTGGGTGCTAGATACCTGGATAGACAGGCTGACAGGGAGTTTAATAGGGTGCGTGCAGGTTGGTGGCAGGTCTTCACATCCCTGAACGCGACTGGAGTGGCAGGCTGGGCTGAAAGGGGCCGTGTCATCATTCGCCCTACACAGTGCAGGCCTAGACAGTTGCGACTTCCTTCAGATAGACCTAGAATAACTCAGATGTTACACGTTGGGTGCTCAATCACTTTAGAGCCACCTAAAAGTTGCGGCTTGGGTCATTAAAAGTGCCTGGAATACTACGACCACCTGACAAAAATAAAAATTCCCCACTTCACCAGTATATGGTGCTTGTTTACCTCTCACCTCAGACTTTCCCTCTACCACAAACAAGGTACCTCCAGACGTCCCACCTTGGCGCACGGCTTTCACCCACGCCTCCAGCTGGCGGTTCTTTCTTCCGCAGCCTCAAATCATCAAACAGCCGCATCTGTTTGTTGCAAGCAAATTTGGATCGCGCAATCACCGATCGCCGGTATTTTTCGGCGCAGTAGTCGTCATCCGAGGGACACAAAACCTCATCACCACCCACTCTCCGCCCATCGGCACATCGATAGCGCATCAGACGAGCCTGAGCTCCGATCCGAAGCCGTCATCATCACCATCAATCACCACAACCATACCTGACACACCCAATCAGTCGACACCGAAACTCCAAGCCGGACGAACGATTTCTATCCCTGATACACACACAATCAGGCATCATGGCAGCACGAAAACTGCAACAAGAAGTCGACAAGTGCTTCAAGAAGGTGGCCGAAGGCGTCGCCGAGTTCGAGGCCATCTACGAGAAAATCGAGCAATCGAATAACATTTCTCAGAAGGAGAAGCTGGAGGACAACCTCAAGCGTGAGATCAAGAAGCTCCAGCGTCTACGAGATCAGATCAAGACATGGGCCGCAAGCAACGACATCAAGGACAAGGCTCCTTTACTGGAACACCGTCGCTTGATCGAGACGGTCGGTGGCCCATGATCCCGCGGTAGTCTTCCGTGGCTCTGCTAACTCTCTCGCAGCAAATGGAGAAGTTCAAGGCCGTCGAGAAGGCCATGAAGACTAAGGCATACTCCAAGGAAGGGTTGGCCTCTTCAGCGAAACTCGACCCACAAGAACAGGCCAAGGCAGAGGCAAGCGATTTCCTGAGCAGCATGGTCGACGAGCTGGAACAACAGATCGAGACCCTCGAAGCCGAGAGCGAGTCGATACAGGCCACCATGAAGAAGGGCAAGAACCAGTCTGCCAAGGCCGAGCGCATCGCCGAGATCGAGCGCATCATCGAGCGCCATAAATGGCATCAGAGCAAACTTGAGCTAATTCGGAGATCCCTCGAGAACGGTGGCGTGGATACGGATCAAGTGACCGACCTCGAAGAATTGATCCGCTATTACGTTTCGGATGGCATGAACGACGACTATATCGAGGACGACGAGATGTACGATGACTTGAACTTGGACGAGGAGGAGGGCGTGTACGGTATGCCTCAGGATGGTGACAAGGGATCGTCGCAAGACGCCCAGTCGCAAGCAGAGGAGCCAACACCGGAGCCCGAGATCATCAAGCCTCCAAGCGCAAAGCCAAAGGCAGTGGCCGAGGTATCTGCGTCGGGACGGAGGTCGAGTGCGCAATCCAAGTCCCCCTTACCGGCGCTGGCGACGCTGCATACGCCATTAGCGACTATCAGCAACGGCAACTCGAGCGGCCCCGTCATGAAGCCAGCATCTGTTCCCGCAAGACCTGCAGAAGGCCTCAAGTACGCGTCTGCGGCGGCGGCAGCAGCGGCGTCAGACAAGATTGGAATCTCCCCGTTGCCACCTCCACCAGGCGCCCAACCCGTCGCCATTGCCAGTCCAGCGCAGGCCAAGACGAGCGTATCAAACTCTCCAGCAACGACATCCGCACACCCAGTCGCTGCGAAAGAGCCGGAAATCAAGCAGCCAACGGTACCGTCAGCAAGCACGAGCGAGACCCCCGCAACCAGCGCAAAGGCAATGCCCACTCCGAGCAAAGCGGAAAAGCGGGCAGCCAAGAACCAAGCCGCGGCGGAGGCGGCGGAAGCTGCCAAGGGTAAGCTGCCACGGAATTGCAGTCGACTTCATATGCTGACCATCTATAGCTGCTCAAACGAACGGCGCCGCCAACGGTGTCAAGCCTGTCGTGGAGGAAGAAGAAGAGGAGTCGATATACCACCTTCCCGCTTCTCTCCAAGACCTCGTCGAGTCGTTCGAGACGTCACGCAAGCGCCCGCCTTCCTACACCTCAGCGACCACACAGCGCATGCTCCAGGCATCGCAGGCCATGTGCCCCGACATTATGGACACGGATGTACCGCGGACCTACCGCCCCGACGTGCGCATTTCGTCGTCAGGAACCGGCTTCCCTTCGGAGCCTCTTCCGCTATTCGAGGACCCGCGTCTGTACCAGCGCATCGATCCTGACACTCTATTCTACGTCTTCTACTACAAGCAAGGCACGCCCCAACAATACCTGGCGGCCAAGGCGCTGAAGGATCAGAGTTGGCGGTTTCATAAGCAGTACCAAACCTGGTTCCAGCGCCATGAGGAACCGAAGAACATTACGGAGGAGTTTGAGCAAGGCACATACCGGTTCTTCGACTATGAGAGCACATGGTAAGTCCTTATTGGGGGTGACATAAACCAGAGCCAGTACTAACGACTCGCGCAGGATGAACCGTAGAAAAGCGGACTTCAAGTTCGCCTACAAGTTCCTCGAGGACGATGTATGAATAGGTGGCATTGTTCACACGGTATTACCAGGCGTAGCCCCGGATTGGGATGGGTTTCTCGAGCCTCTGGTATCGGGGAGAAATGGCGTTTGCCTCGTTTTGCGGAAACATACGGCCAGGGCTGATCTGGCCCAATCTTTGTTGAGTACACTGACTACTGACTGGTCATTCAACGTTAGGCGATAGGCCGCCTGATGAATACTACCTTTGCACATGGAAGAAGGAATGCCCCGCCACCGCCGCGTGACCCCAGATGGGGCTTTTGCCCTTGGCGGTTGCAAGTATGCTCACGGTGATACCCGACTTGTGCTCTTGCCTCGGGCGATCTATGTCCGCAATTGCCCAATGGCAGAGAATGCTTGGTTGATGAGGGGGAGCGTCATGGTTACACATATCGATGACTGCGGTTGAAGCTGGGTTTAGGTTGAAACTTGGCAGCAGCCACTAGTAAGGTAGTTCTAGATGGTGCTGCACATCACAACGGCACAGTCGCGTCTACCCGTAAAGCAGCCACACACAACAACAACACATAGTGTCTGGGGCCATACGCGGCTGCTCAGCCTCGATGATGTGTGTGTTTCTAGGTTGCTCGGTTGCAGGTTACCGAATGACCCCATAATCGTCTCTTTCGAGGCAAAAATGACCACAGATGGTTACAGTGAGGGACGACAGGACCAGCGAAGCCGTTGCCGTCTGCAATAAAGACGCTCCGCCACCATGTCATATCATAAGCCGGGCGTAGGAGCTCCAGGTAGGAAGTCGGCTTGGACGCAGATGAGTGGTTGAGCGTAGGCAGCCAGTTAAGTTTAAGCAAGAACGATGGCGGTAAGTAGCTAGGCAGGTTTCTAGGTAAGTAGGTAGCTGCAGGGAAGAGCAGCAACGTAAGGTACTCGTCAGCAGGGGAGGAGGTGCATCGCCTTTTGGAGGTTAGGTAAGGTCGGGCAATGTAGATAAGGTGAGGCAAGGTGCCTAAAGCGGTTAAGTAGGCACAAGGGAAAAGCCAGGCAGGCAGGCAGTACAAAACAGAACAGAGTAAATGCAGTTCGTGTTGGTGGTGGTAGTGATGGTTGTGGTGGCAGGGGATGGAGTCGGAGTGGGCAATGTCGTGGGGCCCGCGGAACGATACGCAGGTCACCCAGGTCATCATCTAGGTACCATTAAGGTGCGTTAAGCGATGGAAGTTTTCTAGAAGGCAAGAGGGGCCCCACTATGACAAGCGCACAGCGGTCGGGTCCAACCCAGGAGCCGGGGCCGTACAAGGCGGGCACATTGGACGACCTGAGCACCTTACCCTCTGATCATGACCGAGCCTGGACTCCATTTTGGCCACACATGACATTCTCTTGCAGTTGGCGGAGGTGACAAGCTCGTTGGAACCCACCGCCTCGAGACGATGTCTCCCCTCGAATCGCCCCGAGCTTGCTGCAGAAGAACATTCTTTGCGTCTTCCAGAAAATGGCTCGTCCGAACAATGTCTCCATCAGGGATGGATCTCGTGTGCCAATGTCGCCTCTCTGTGTTGCGCGCTTTTGGGATGAACCAACCGGCAGGCACCCATTGGCATTGAGGGCGAGCGATGGAGAGCGCTTCGCTTCGTCACTTAGCTTCACTGAGTCAATCGCCCGCACTGCACCGCGGCACATCACATCCCCTTCGCCTGTCAGCTCGACCGCTGAGGCACTCCGCAGG